CAGACAGGCAGCTCCGTCTATACATCTGTTTAAAAGCAAAGGCGATGGAGTCGGATGTGTTATGGGCATGCAAGTGGGTAGTGCTCTTTTATGGTAAATCCATGGAGTTTCCAGAACATTCCAGAAATTATCTGGACTTATCGAACTTTTTGGCATATACATATTTTCTGGAAGATTTAGCACGTGCGATGTGAGTGTTTGGTGACTCTCCAATGATGAAGCAACAACAGGAAGTAAGTACCCCGTGACAGGACATGTTACCTTCAAATCGTCTCGTGGGAATTGGTTAGACAAAGCTGGGGCAGAGACAGTATTCATATGTCGTTCTTCAATCAATTCGAAATAGTTGCGTTATGACAGGAAATGAGATGTGCCGCACAAGTTTCGGGGGCATACAGACAGCTTATATGACAAATTGGCTACCCTTCGCAGTGAACGGAACATGACTAGGTCGGAACTTTTTCCTTCCTGGCTCTCCGGCCGTTTCCCCTTGTTTTCCCAGATCCGTCATAGTGAGAAGGGAGAGTGCCTGAGGACAAGGGAGTGTTTAGAACCTTATGTAGATGCAAGGTCAGAATCGAACGTTATGGAGCGTGCAGGGGTGGGTGTTACCCCTAACTTCTAGGATATCTATAGGGAACGTTTTATGGGTTTCCTGTTAGCTGCAGCTGCGCACATAGGTTTTCAAAGGCCCTACAGAGTATCCTACAGTTTATGACAGGTGTCAAGTTCCGGCTATCCAACACCCCAGTTTCGCCTGAAAACCAAGTGTTTTTCAGAAATTATCAGGCTGAAGGAGATGGTTCGGTAATTACTCAAGTTACTTTGTAACCAGAGTATTCAACGTAAGTAATTGCTAAGAAAGGTAAACAAAATAAACAATTTCATCCATTCAGAGCCCAGATTTTTTGGCTGAGTGAACACAGCAGAAACGAGCAACTTCCTGTTGGCTACTCACCTGTTTGAGAAGGGAAGACGGCAATTTGCAGAGCAATCAATTGTTCTCCATAACTGCTGGTGAGGTAGGTATTCGAAGAGTTCTTTTCCTAATGTTCTGTGGCATACGAAGCTTTCCTCTGGTGATGCATGAACAACTCTTGGAATGTCGTTGTCATGGTTACGCTCCGGAAGGGAGTGTTCTATTGAAAGGTCTTACGAGTGAGTCTTGGACAAACGGCTTAATCGCTCTCATCGCTTATTAGGATGACCGTGGCTAAAGTGGATCAAGGTGAGTGTTATGCTTCACTTAATTGCATGGATGCTTGCTGTTTAAATGGCTTCATAGCTGTATTCTCTCTTTGTCTGAATCACACTTGCTAATTAATGGTAAATCAGCACCAGTCTAAGTCTACCTTTCACTGGCTGCTCTCATAGTCCACGATTTGGCGAGCGACCGGTCGCACGACTGGTCGCTCGGTCGCTCGCGCAATAGGTCCGCGATCGCTAGCCAGATCGTAGACTATGACTGCAGCCACTGCCACCCTACTCAACAGCTTTCGTACTTTTTATGGCATCCATATTCAAAAAAAGGAGAAATTATCTTTTCACTGGTCCAGTTCTGGCCATCAAACTTATTTTCTGCGACGTTTTCATTCTCCTAGACAGCTGATACCAATTAAGGCTGACAGATATGAGTGGTCTCGGTTTAATCCGACCCTTGGTTTGACCATGGAACATGCATGTGCAAGTGATGCCGTTTGAGACTGTCCAGACTTCTGAGAAAAGTCTGGAGTCATTATCGCTCAGTTCTTTTTCGGATATAGCGAAATGAATAGTATTACATGTGAATTAGTAATTCGAAGAAAAGAACTACCAGCATAGAGCGACCAACCGTGGAGCATGCTACAGTCTGAGGAGGTGTGCTTCTGAGGAGAATGTGTAAGTGGTCGGCCTTGAAGGACTTTGTAGACAAATATTTCTTGCACCCTTGCTCATTCTTTCCGTATTCACGGTTTAGAACAGCTGATCGTGTGAACCGAATCTACTGTACGTTTGAAAAACCCTGTTTTTTGGAAGTCGGAGGTGGTGTAGTGGCGACTGGGCACTAACTCACACGCACGGTCAGGGGTTCGGAACCCGTATCGATAACCGCCTAGGCCGACCAAGCCTTCCTTCCCTCCGGGGTTGGTTAATTGGTACCAGATTCGTCTGGGAGGATAAAAGCACTGACTTGCACATCGGTTGGTCACCACAATTCATTGTATAGGCACTAATTACGCCACTACGATTCCGTATGGAAGTCGAGTGCGGAGCGAATCCCTCAGACGGGGTTGATTACGCCAAAAACTCTATCCATTATTCTTTCTATCCTCTGTTTTTTGAGCGCTGTCGTTCCCTCTTGAAGTGACCTTTAATTAGTGATCAGAGGTCAGGGGTCCTTAGTCCAGTGCAGGAAGAAACGACAGCCTAGGAGACGGGCAGGCTGGAATACATTCGTTCATTTTCTAGCCGATGCCACGTATTCTTCTCTTCGAACAGCAATAATAAGTCTCACTCCCGATGATTCCAAATGTCGTCTGTACTGTAAGGGTCGAGCATGCCGGTACTGCAATACCTATTTGGGAAAAAGTGCCATCCCAAGGCTGTACTCCACGTGGTGAGTTGTTGACCAGTGACCTTTTTGTTTATTTCCGAATTGTAGAATTGTTGCGATATTCGATGTTTGCTAGGTCATTAGGTTCTTCTTCTTAAGGATTACGGATGACATTCTAGCAATGGCCAGACCACAGCCGGTTCACTTTGAAAACGATGAAATTATACACAGCTTGAAAAGGTGGGTAGTCTGCTGAAGGCAAAAGCGGGTGGGCGCTGTTACCGTAACTTTTTAGGCGATATATCGTTGTTTTTCCGGAAAAATCCAGCTGTTTATAGACCAACTTATTTTTAGGAAAAAAATTCGTGCCGTGTTTAATCTTCAAGAATTTGGCGAGCACCCGTCTTGCGGATCGGGAAATCTAGACGGAGGATTCAGTTATGATCCAGAGCGCCTTATGAGAAATGACAGTACGTTAGAGCACTTTCGCTAATTTTTATAGGACTGACAAAATTCAGAAGCTTGAAAAGATTTATAGAGTTTTGCAGGGTTTTACTTTTATTTTTATTTCTAACTTTATTTTACTACACTTGTTTTACTATTTATCATTTATCTACGGCTTTACGGCACATAATTTCACTACGGTCATAGAGGCGCAAGCAAGGAACCATTTGTAAAATATTTCTGAATCCTTTCTTCTTATTCCCAGAATCCTCAAAGCCGAAAACAAGCCTATAGCATGGGCTGGGTAATCGAGCCCATAGCAACTGCATCGATGGGCAATGAGATGGTGAGACTCCTCGGGAAAGGTCGATTTTATAACGGCTCATAAGGGGATTTCAGAGCATATTTATCATATGAAATGATATTAGATGATTAACCAGTGTTAGTCTATTTGTTCTCACATAGTGTTCCGAAACCGGGAGATGAGCAGTAGGAACGGTTTTGCGTAATCGATCCGCCGCACGCGGCTGTCGCGGACCATTCGTTTTGCTTATAACAGTTCTAGCGTTCTTCATACAGCTCATTCGATATGCAATTATTACTTTAGGAATGGTTCTACTGATAGTTCTTCTGTTCCTGCATTTCTTACTTGCTGCTGCATTCTGCTACATTCCTTCGCGCGCGGCGTCCCTCTCGCCGCGACGCGACACTTTCGTTCCTACTGCATCACACCCTCTGGAACCTCTTCTACAAACGTGACAATTCGAAGAGATTGGTATGGATAGAACTTCTGGGCAGGTTAGCTAGAAAGAAGGTACGCCCAGAAAAGCCATTTTCCCAAAAAGGGAGATTACGTAGGCCAACCAAGCCTTACATCCTTCCGAGGTCGGCCCTTTGGCGTCAGACTCGTCTGAGAGGATAAAAGGCACTGACTTGTACATCCGCTGGCCACCGCAATTATAGGGTAGGTATAGAATAGTATACGTATAGGCCACATCCGAATTCAATACGCCACTACGATCTGAATAGATTAACCACTGATGACTTCATCCTTTATCCTTTTGAGTCCCATTGAAGTATTCGCGTTGATTTCGGACTTGCTTGAAAATCGGGCATCTGTATGTATGTATCACTCGTGTTTGTCGCGATCTAGAACTATCCAATAAACCCTCTTCGCCCGAAGAGTTGCTCCCACGCAGAGCATTACGTGAGAATTCTGCCCTCTATGAGGCCTGTAATACTTGTGTTTGCTTGACGACCCGAAGAATACGCATCTGTCCTAGTTCAACGGCCATTTCAGAATCGCACCATATCTGGTCTATTATCCTTCCATTTTACAAACGTTCTAGGCGCTTATTACAGCGAATTATCAAGCAAGCAAAACGAATGTGGCTACTAGACATCCACCCTTGAAGGATCGGTTCACAACTGGTACTAATGAAGAAGGTATTATAGATATTGAATGTTCCTAATGCTCCATTTTCCCTCAGCGGAATAAACACTTCCGATTGCTCCGGCTATATGTATCGAGGTCGGGGAATCGGTATGACAAATACCCCGGAGCTGATCAGAACGGAGCGGGTGGCATGAGGAGCATCCGAAGGCAATGTGAGAAGAATGAGGACTACGTATAAAGAATGTTCGGCTCCGCGGCTACCTTTTCGACTCGGCCGCCCTCTGTTCTTTGGCCAAAGCCTCAGGAACTTGGTTCTCAATAGATGGGATAAGCACGCAGAATATTTCGAATGGAATTCCTGTAAAACAGCTAAGGCGGTATACATTTCATCTTGCTGAGGCCTGGTATTCTTCAATTGTGAGTCAGTCATTGCTGGGCACTGTGCCCTCCTGCTTTACATCGCATTTGTAAACCTGAACAAAAAGTGTAATCTAAAACATCATCGCAAGAGGTTCGATAACAGCATATCTTCGGAAAAACTACGACATTGACTGAGCTCATTTGTTATTCCAATGAATCTAAAGACTCACATGTAAATGCTCAAATTTCAGTATTTTACTACAACTTTCCATTGCCCGATTTCGAAGCTTGTACACCGGCTAGACTCGTAGACATTGTAACTGTTATGATCTATGAACTGACAAGAGGTTAGTCGATTTTTCAATGAGAATTTACTTTTTGATTCACTTGTAAACAAATAATTAATAGGCGACCGATGTTTTGGAACTGACTTTTCCTCTTTGTTTTCCTAGGCCCTTGCCTGTCACCACTGGAAGCAGTTTTCAGAGTTTTCATCATCTTTGGTTACCGTGCACAAGCTTTTTCGGATTTTATGATTTACGAAGCTGGTATTTGATTAGATGACTGCCTTTCCGTGGGGTTGAACCAAGTCAAAACCTTCCAATCTTTCTCAACCTATCAGTAGTTTTCAGGGAAAGTCGCTGTTCATTGCCATGCAGGTCATGGAAGAACGGGAATGGTAATCGCCGCATGTCTCATGCTGGTTAGAGGAATGACTCCTCGGGAAGCCGTCGATGTTGTTCGACAGAAACGGTATATCCATGTATTGAGAATCCACTATTATGCCCTGGATTAACCGAAATGTCTATGTATTGAGAATCCACTATTCCAGGCCAGGATCGGTGCAGAGCTCTGATCAAGTTCAAGCGTTACATTCGCTACGTGTCCTGCTTATCAATAGTGCCTCCGTTCTTCCTACTTCACCATTCCGTACAATTTCGGAGTATATAGAATTTACAGGTCGTGTGCTACCTAGGATGGATATGAGACGATATGGAAAAGTGCCTAAGGTACGTTTCCATGAATATCAGTTGAGCTGCATTTCAGAATCAGAACTTCTTTTCTTGATACTGCAGGTGCCTATGAAACTTGCGTCTGATGGAAAACCCCTTCAGTTAAGGTGAATAAGTCGTGCGATATATCGAATATGCCCCAAGTCATGAAATTCCAAACCTCCTCCAAGATTTGAGCTGATCCAGCGCTCAATGTTTGCACTCCGAGTAATACGCGAAATCCTTAACCGGTGTTCAACCTGTTGAACGTTTGTGTACCTCTTCATGTCGCTACTCATTAGCACTTAAATCTCCTACAAATCATATCCGATCGAATTCTTGGCAGACTTCGAAGTATGCATTTTGGACCGCTCAGTACCTTTTGAAGAGGAAGTTTTTCTCCAGTACAGGTAGTTTTACGTTTCATAACCACTTTGGAGACCGACACGTTGCGTAAAAGTTTCCAACCATAGTTAACACTAACTTTTCTCAATCAGTCTTGAGCTTTCACTGCAATGATCGGTTCTGCTAGCCACCCCTTCCATTGACAATCCCTCTAAAGAAGGCCTTTTTCCTAATATGTTCGCGTAACGCCTCTCAAGGCGAAAGGGTTGCGTGAATTTAGCAGAAAATCGTGAACGCAGATAATTAGAAACTTTATGGGGATATGAGTAGACTTTCTATAAAAACAGCATAATCATTACAATAAACATTTATTATCGCCCGCCTTATTTACCTTATCTAAAGTGAAGGGGGTTATGAGCAGCCCTTCAAATAGTCTCCCACCACTCATTTGACACTAATTCTTCTGTAAATTGCGCATTAAATTGCTTATTCTAGCCGCTGTACATCGGGTTCATTGCTCTTCTTCGAAAATTCTTCAGCAGTGTTGTGCTGAGGCTTCAAACGCATGCCGAAAACCCTTGGCGTTTTCTGTTTGACTGCAAAGGACCGACGGATTTCATGTAAGTATCTTAATACTATTGTTATTCTTACTCGTAGTGGTAATTTCACATTGAAAGTTGCAATCATATCCATAGCCGAAGTAAGTATTTTGACTTGGGATGAGTTACAATATGACCATCAATTAAAGTCAGTAGTATCAGTTCAATGCTAAATTAAACTAAAAATGGCTTTTGGGACCAGCTCAAGCACAAACCAATCTTTTACCAATTCATACTGTCTAGTAGTGGCGCAAGGGCTAAGTCCATGTTGTCGCTCTCTAGCAAGTAGCAAAGTATAATAGCTGCAGGAACTCAGTTTGAAATGAGCGAATTCGTTCTTTCTTTACACGATCATTCCTGGTTGTGTGGAAAAAGTCGGCTGAGAAGAAACTTCAGTGGCGAGATTGGGAATTTCTGTTTTTTGCCCTCCGGCTTGAAAACCTCACCTGTTCCATTAACCTGACACTCACCCAACATTTCCGACATTTTCAAAATAAGCATGTCCGTAATCAACACCCGAATTTGACGGATGCCATTCATTCGGTTCTATAGCAGAAGTTCTAACGGGAGAAAAGCAGTTACGATATTAACTCGTTTGTAATGCTTTTTACTCAGTGTTCACGTTCACTCTTAAGGCAAAAGAGAGGTTACAAGGAAAAGCACTCTGAGAATTTCACAGTCGTTCTGATGCTTGCTGCTGCTGCCTCACAAAAAATATTTTTCTTTAGATACCCTGCGCTAAAGTAGCACGACAAAAATAAACCTTTCGGGCAGCATTTTAGGAAAAGCTAATTAAACGTGGAAGATGTATTCCAAAAAAGGTCTGCTAGTCGAACCACTTCTATTGGCTATTCATGGGGAGGCGTCTTTGTGTAGAAAGGAGAAAGTCAAAACTTCATGTCCTCATACTTGTGTGGAATTCAAGCGTTGACCATTCTTCCTCTTACCAGGAAAGGATACCAAGTCGCAGTGGCCATTTAAGTTAAGATGTATACCGACGTAGGTAGTTTCGAACGCTGATCTCAAATCTGAATTCCAAATCTGCGAAACGGTTCTGGGAACAAAGTTACAGGTGCCCTCTCCCCAGGTGTCTTGTAACCTTTTCGCTTTTATACGAGA